CCGCTCTTCCGGCGACTTGCGATGCCGCTTTGCGTGATTGCAGATCGAACGTAGCCAACCGACTGTTGATGGCCCAGTTTCGACTATGGTGTTACCACGGCCGACGTCGTCCTGTATCCTCTGGCAGCCGGCCGTCGCTGTCGCAAGACATGAAACAGACGGGTGAATGCGCCCCAGGCTGCGGCTGCGGACACATCTCATCGAGTCACCGAAATCCCGGTGGCATCGCCGCAAAGTCAAAATTTACCTCTGCTTCCTCCTCATCACAGTCGTACCCCCCTGTTCGACAGATCAACTCTTTATTGTCGCTTCGCAAGTATCGCCGTTGTTCAGCAATATGCCTCACAGTAGGCAAAATCACGACCTTCCGCAGATCAATTTTCCTCTGAACTAAACGATGAACGACTTAGCGACATTTTTGCCGAGCAACTGATCGCACTGAGAGCAAAAATGAAAGCGGTGCCAGAAACTATTAGCGACTTTTGCCTATTTCTTTCGCCTGTAAGTGCTTCGCGTGATAAGCCTCCGTTTCCTTTTCTAACTCTCTTTCTGTACATGTGGGAGGTTTTTTACGTTTATTCGTTCATAATTCATTTTTGCCAAAAACAACTATTAACTAGCAAAATTACCGTCTGATTGTACGTCGCGTCTGTGTAGCGTCAAATCATAGTTCATTGCCTCAATCAATATTTTTTTCTGCTCCTCGGCAATTATTAAGCAACTGTTTGAGTTTAAAATAAAACATTTGAAACGATAAGTGAAACACTCGTATCTTTTTCAACGAGAAGCTTGTTATGCTAAGACTTTTCTCTTTCTCCTTCGTTCTGCATTTTTGAGGTCCACCAAATTATCCTTAGTCTAGTCGACCGCAAGTGAAGATCACAATAAACGGTAGAAATCATTCAGAAACGTCCTCCTTCCTTCAAAACAGTGACGCCATCAGTATAAAAGTCAGTCCAGAATGCCGAAAATCTTTGCAAAGTGCCATCCTCATGCTGAAAGGGCAAAATTAGGTTAAAAACTAAAGTGATCAAGGCTCTGCAAGATGAAGTTGCACAGTAGGTCATAATGAATAATATTGATCATAATTTCCTCTCTCATAAGTTTACCTTTATTTAGCCTTCAGTCCCCATAAATAACTGACAATTTAACCCCTTCGGTAGCAGTGCAACTCTATCACGGTTTCAAAATTGGTGGATCAAGGAAAATTGTCAGGACAGCAGCCTTTTACTCGGCAACTTTTGCTGGTATCATTTTCATTAAAACAATACCTGTAATGAAACGCTGACTTCTGTCACATCCAGCGGATGGCGTTCTTATTCCTTAACCATCAGGCATCTGTTACGAGGAACCATCTTCTCTAGACATCTGGATGTTTCTCATGCTTTGCGCTACCTACTCTTCATGGCGATTCAACTGATACACATGCGACCCCAACCGTTTTCTATTATGGACGAACAAAAGCTAAATCATTAGCGAAGTCATGTGCCTAGATTTCGAACATATCTTATGATAGCCTGAGAAGGAACGATGCAGCATGATTGTATGCTAGGCATTAAACCATGTTTATTAATTAACTGGAATGCTTTTGATCTGACCTATATCCCATGCAGTAAGTCTGGCATTGGGTATCCTAACAGGAGCAGGATGTAGTACCCCAGTCAGCAAGGCCTTTACAATCACTGAGATGCTCAAGCCTCTTCGCCATGTCAACATGGTACTAGATAGCAACAAAAATGATGACATCATCATGTTATTCATGAATAGTATACGATAAGATATCCGTTGGTTGTTTTGGCACATTTACATGGTTCGTCGTTCATTCTCAAAGCATTTTTTAGATTTCCATTCGATCACATGCAACGGAAGCTTTTTGTTTATGAATCATATAACATGAAAAATATGTTTTTGTCACAATATTGTTGATACTGAATACCTCTAACTGTGTCAGTGTAATCTTCTCCTTCTCCCTCGAAGGTTTATCTGAAAGAGTTATGCGACGATGGATGTCGCGTTCATTCGCCATTGTCTCCTTCGACTTTTTTTCAAACCAAGGATTCGCCTTTCAGGAATATCAGCTACGGCGAAGGTATTGAACTAGAAATCGCCTTAGCATGCAATTTATATAGCGCAAATGTGTCCTGCGTAAACTGACATCGTTAAGGAAATAAACCGGTTTAACGTGAATGCCAATATGCATTAATGAGGAAGTTTTACTAGAATATGATGCGTAGTTAACTATGCATAATTTGTATGGATTGGACGAGCAAAGTCACGCCCTTACGACGGACTATCAAGCAAATGACTTGGATTTAAGATTCGCCTTCTTCGTCTTCCAGCTTTAAGCTCGACGGCTGACCACCAATCAGAAGTATTTTATCTGAAAGACTGTCAGCTCATACGTATGTTAGCAGCCCATCGAACTTGATAAACTTGTTGCATTTTGTTGTGACTATTGAAACATGTTTTGCTGTACCTAAGATAATAATTTGCGGTAAAGCTTAAATAAGAACTTTAATTAGTCGTTTTGGCATACCAGCATGAAGGTCTCATTTTATAATATAGAAGTAGTTCTAGATATTCGGCTAGATCCACACTCAGAGTGTGATATGCTCTCAAAATGTGTGAAAAATTAGTAATTGTCTCAGTCGCGGTCTGTATGCACTGACTGTAATTCTTATTCTATCATGTGAGAAGGAGGACTGTAGCAAAACACACGATGTCTTGTCATTTAATGCTATGACTGTTCGAATTTCACAAAGCCTTGGTTTGTCTAAAAAGTTTTTTAGCCAGTAATAAGCATGAAGACCGTGAGTGATGGGTCAATAAATCCAGTTTTCAATAAACTGTATACTTTGCGTTATTATTTTTCCTCAAATTTGCTGTAATTTTACCATTACAAAATGTGATCAATTTCATAAAGCATCACTTTTTAGAGATCAAAAACTGAATCAGAAGCATTTCAAGACGAACAGCACAGGGATGCAGAAAAATGACGTAAATGCCTGCGTTTTAGCTATACTGTTATTGCCAAGGTATTGACTTCGCGCAAACCTCTCCATCGATATATTTCTTCTGGCACACCTTCGTATTCCAATACTCCTTCCCAAAATGCATATCTACCTGGCATACAATACCATAGTATAACAGTGTAAATCAGGAGGTACTGCGGAAGATACAGTAGATGTACCGAATCTTCATAAGAGAAAAAGAATTAGCCATTATTAAAACACTGATCAGAATTAAACTTACAAAAGTAACGGCAGTTTTCCGCAAAAGTGTTCGTGTACCAAAATACGTCGTTCTTTAAAAATGTTGCGAACATAAAGTTTTCTATAGTTGTCACAATGATCATCAGTTGAAGTGACCATTGAATAATTAACGCCGAACGATTTCCCGAAACAGTATTGGCCCAATTGGCGATCAGGGCCATTCCATACAACGCGGTTACCGTCGACAGTACATCGAAAAGCATCAGAAAATACTTCACTTCGGGATTCTAATTAACCTTATTATAATATATCTTTAACTTGCATTTCAAATCAATATAACAGCGTTTTCAGGCAACGAGTTAGAGAAAAATAAATTTTAACGGTAAAATAACCGACTGTCTATAACAACATGCAAATTCAGCAAAAAAATTATTTGCAAATGCTCAAAATGCACGAAGAACGGTTTATTTTTAACGAATGCTTCAAGTTCAGATGCAACGGTGAATTGCACTCTACTTTGCTTCTAATTGCCTAGGAGATCATTTTCGCCATCCATGGTTTCATGGCATTTGCAGCGTTAGATACATCTCACGTCTTTTTGCTCACTAGAATAACCTCACGTTCATCATGGACAATGTTTCAGAAGTTGGATGCGCTTATATGCGATCACACGACCTTCAAAACAATAATTTGTCAAATATTAATAATGATATTTATGCTTATAGGCAACGTAATATAACAAGTTTATGATAAGGACAAACCTTTAATCGACCCTCCGGTTTCTCTTAAAAGAACCTGTATGAGAGGAAGAAATTATTTAACAGCACCCTGAGCAATGCTTGCGAAGAGTAATTGTTTCTTCTGTGATGGAGTGGTTGGTTCCTTATAACAAAAGTGTTGTTAAGCAACGAATACAGGGGTGTCACAAACCAGGGATATTCTGGCTATGCAAGCGGCTGAAGATAATGACTATTGTCTTAACAAATACATCAGAGATGTTCTGCAGGTACGAACGGGTGAATACCACTACGCTGATAACTAATGATCGACATTTTTCCTGCTGTAATTGAAAGGCAAGCCTTTGGCTCCCAAAAAAATTTGCCTTAAGTGAGTGTGACAAACCTCACATATTGCCGCTGAGTTCGTTTTCTGCATGAAATTGCCTGAGTGATAGATGATGATAGATGGTAGATGATTTGTTTCTTCGTTAATCATTCCCTGCTCAGAGAATCATCTGCGTGATAAAATACGCCATAACAGTGTTTCGCAAGGCGTGAGTGAATATGAACAGGTTCTTCCAACCATTTCATCCAGGTTCATGGTCCAAGCATTAATAGCCTAAGTTATTATTGTTGTTGTCATCGTCATCTGGGGTGTCAGGGTCAAGGACCGAATACTCAGATTCATGATGTCTGATGTTTTGGATTATTTGCGCAAAATGAACTCAGATTACAAAAATCATTGTAATTGCTTCCTTAACTTTTCAGAATCATGACCAGGTGTCACGGAAGCAGGTAGGGCTTAAGGGAAGGCATTCCAGTGAGTGCTAATTCTCCTGGTCATATGATCTTTACTTTGTTCGTTGCTTTCCCTTCTCTCTCGAAGAACACCTCAGTTGCGTGAGATAAATATTTAAATTTTTTAAATATTAAACCGTTTCGAGTCAGGTTGTCCTCTGAAATGATTCGT